CAACCAGATCACTGCACCACAATTCAAGCGTTTTAGTCTGATTAGCTTAATAAGTCTGAATATTAGTCTGATATACTATTTTTATTATACATAATATACATTATATATATATATATATATATATATATATGCATATATCATAAATAATTAGTCTGAAGCGCGATTACACTTAATTGCCCCAAACAAACCAAAGATGCTGCTTGCATAGCACTGCAAACTTTTAGTACAACATACTAAATCTGGTATTAATCTCGATTCTGGTTTGATGATAGTATGTGTCGATACCTACTAGTCAAAACTTTGGAGTAGCCAGTGTTCTTTGCCCTGACAGGCTGCAAAGGATGACGCACCTCGCAGCCGGGCTAGTGAGTGGTCTCCGCCGCAGCGATCGCGTTCCACCCGTTCTGGACGCGCTCGGCTGGCGCAGCGTCGCGGATTCTGTGCAACACCGGGACTGCCTGAATGGGTACAGGGCACTGCTCATTCCCGAATATCCCAGTGGCCTATTCCTAACGTGCGCTGAGTCTTCCCAACGCCAAACTAAAGCTGTTGCGGGGGTGTCAGCCCGCTGCATCTGCCACGCGCCCTACTGAGCCACCCAGCGACACTTTTCGTATCGCGCCGCCGCTGTGTGGAACCGGCTGCCTGCGGCGGCCGTCCGCGCCCCCTCGCGCCAGGCATTCTTGACTGTTTTAAGTCGCTGACTCATCGACTGAAATTGTATGTCTATGCGTATGCATGTATCTCTGTACTGTGTGTGGGTTCTTTTTCCTTTTACGACTGGCACCAAACAAGCACCACGTGGATGCGCCTTGGATAACATAACTGTAACTGTAACTGTTGCGGCTTTTTGTGGCTGCACGAGGGACTAGAAGACCAGGACACTGGTTTTCCATGATATTTTGCCCATTGCGCCCCCCCCCCCCCTTCCCAACCCCCTGGCGCAACAGATAGCCTCTCTCACCCATGTGCTGACCGAGTTGTAAGATACCGCGACTAATGACTGCATTCATTCAGATTTGCTGTCACGTGCTGACGTGCCTTGTCCAAACATGTGTAGCTGTACCGCTCACATTATGACATAAAATAGCAGCATGCCAAGAGAAGACGGGGTAGGCTACCCCAGGTCAAAGCAGCTAGGTCAATGCCCACCTCCACTTTGTCAAATTTCCATGCATGCGATGACACTTAATACAATAAGAACGTGCCAATGCTGCGGCTGTTCCCAATCGTTAGATTGGTAGCTTGTTTTGCTATTGACAATGTGAAGAATATTGCCACTGTGCATAATCCAAGAGGGCATCCCCCACCCCCTAACTCGCCCAGATATCCAGTGGTTAACTGCAAGGCAATACATTAAAAGCTTGGCGTTCTCATTGAACTCTATCTCCCCCCGCCCCCCCCCCCCGCTACGAAACCAGGTTGTGCCCCTGCTTTCCATCACTTGGGCTAATGTTTGCTGTGGGCTCCTCGGCGATATTGTGGTTCACGGATTTCTTGTGGCTTCACGTGGAACTACAAGATCAGGACACTGGTTTTCCATCATATTTTTCAGGCCTCAATTTAATATTTCACTGGTGGGTTTTGGAGATACTAAATTAAATCACATGTAAGTCTCCAGCAGTTATTTACTTCCTTTTCCATTTCGAGCCCAACGTTTTTGCATCTCAGAGGGATTCCTGAGCCTCCTCTCCTCTTACCATTGTTGTATGCGCTTCTGTGTTGAAACAGCACAAATTGGACACCTAAACTGAACATGCATATACAGTGCAACAGCCTGTAGATATTCTGGCAAATGTATACGCAATTCTGATGATTATGTGAGTGAAATCAAAACATTCCATAATTGTTGTGCCTTCTGATTGCAAATAAACTGCAGCAGACGCTGCCTTATTTCGAAGTCCCGGTGTCGTACAGCCCGCATCAGGTCCATCAACTGGCAGCGACAAGATGATGCAAACTGCTTTTAACTGGGAGTGCCGTTGGCATTGCCAGAGGCAAAATACTGCGGATTTTGTCGTGCTGGCCTGTTCATCTCAAATACATAACCTTGCTTCTGTCGCTTATTTGTGTTCAAATAACTTGTGAAAATAGAGACAATACACTAAGCTAAAGTAAAGGTTACCAGCTTGTGTGGTTACCGTGTGATTATGAAGGTACGCATTATGCATTGATAGTGCGCAACTATAGTTTACTTACATGACCATCTGAGGATCCATCAGCCTCTCAGGCACCTATAAAAACGTGTTGGCTGTCGAACGGCTCGCCGTCGGCGCTAACCATGGTAAGTTTTAGCTTTCCATGCGCCATGTATAAAAACTTGTTTCACTTCGTCAGCACCGAGTGGCGCTGTCTACCCCGTCCTCGAAGTCCCTGGCACCTGCCGTCCTTTAAATAGCAGCTGTTGGCAGTGTCAGTGCAGCAGCTCTGACACTACCGAAAGCTGCCATTTTTTGTTTGGTGGCGCAGCTCCATTTGAAGGTATGCGATTGGCAGCGGATAAATGCGGGTTGAGATTTCGGCTGGAAAGGATGGGAGCGAGCAAAAGGCACAACACTTTTGTCAGCATGAAATTTTTAACAACAATCTGGGAACTTTTGGCCAACGTCGTCCTCAACTCCTCAGAACGTGATAATGAATGCATGCGTAGACCAACACCAGCGGGCTCGCGTCGCTTCGAGTGAAGACATGCATAACTGCACCTGGTTGTGTATCTGGAAAGAAGCCTACCTGCCAGCCTAGTTCCACATCCCACTTGACCTACTTGCCTATTCTGCGACCTGCCTACGATTTCTCTGCCACCAAGGTAACTTGGCCCTGGGAAGATTGTGGGGAGGATGGGGAGATGGATGCCCAGGCATATGCCTTGATAAGAAGGTACCGTGAAGACATGCACCAAACGGTAGAACATTTATGCGTGTGTTTGAAAGCAGCGTCATTAAACCAGGAGGTGAATCGGGCAGGGCGGGGGAAGGGGCGCACATGCCATGACAGTTCAGTCAATGGTAGTTAGTGGGTAGGTACCTTACTGGACGGTGTCACAATTAAAAGGCCATTTCCCCCCATTTTTGTGCGCAACATTTTGCCAATGTGATAAGAACTGGGCAATACATTCAAAGTATGCATTTCCTTGTTTTCATTGAAGTACTCGTGATATGTTTGTGGTTGACTATTCACTTAAAACCAGCGAACTGAAAGGAGGGGGCATGACCATCCCCTCACCTCCCCAGACGAGTGCCGACGCCCTTACACGAAGTTATCCGCCGTGCTCCAATTAGTTTGCTCAGGCAGCTCTGAGATTCGTCAACACATAGCTTCCTGCAAAGCCGGACGGAACAGCGATCACAATGCCTGAGCGCCTACCCATACAGTACATTTTATTCAGATCCACCATGAGCCTCAGTAATAGATTGCATCAATGACTTACGTGCTACACTTACTTTATTTCTGCTCGGCATACCCAATACAATTTTTTGCAACTCGGAATGCTTCACACTTCATTCAACTAGCCCGAAAAAGCAAAAAGTTTGCACGCGGTGCTACATCTTCCTGTGCACCTTTGACCACTGCCCACCCCTCACGGAGAAATTTGTTTTGAATATAGATATCAAAATATTATTGTGACACAAAAACAACAAATTACACGCATTAGGCATCTGTTGAAGCTAATTTGCACCGACAAAGGCTAGTTGATGCTCTTAATGAACGTAGTCGACCATCGTAAAAATAACAAGATATTTTATTACGGTAATCTCTCTGTTTGAATAATTTTTTGGCAATGAGCGGCGATAATCGTTTTATACAACCGTCCGCAGGTCGTAAAGCACTTTCATAAGTTCACGGATTTTGGGTCCTGACGTGCATCACACATCATCACGATGATGTCCAGTGTAATTCAGAGCCATGGCACCGCGGGCACCAGTACAGTCATCAAAACACCACGTGCCATTGTCCACGTGCGCCATTTTTATGTTAAACCTTGGCGTCCTGGTACGTTAACAAACGGTACAAGCTTCTCAAACGTTAGGTTGTCAAGTCTTTGTTTCATTAACTCTCTAGCAATTATATAACTGCCTGATACCTTGCGCATCTTCCCTTTTCGCCAGAAAACAGTGCAGCGCACCACGACATGATAATGAAAAAGTAAAGAGTCCTACTTTTAAAGAGTCCTACTTTTAAAGAGTCCTACTTTTAAAGAGTCCTACTTTTAAAGAGTCCTACTTTTTAAGAAATACGGTCCTACGATCATAGAACCACGTGTGCGCGCCACGACATAAGTAAAAAAAAACACAGCAAAACATTAGAACAGCAGCCATAACGGTCGCGTGGAAGGTGTTTTGCCACCGTTGCGCGTCCCAGAAATCGATGAACTCAACTGTGCCCCGCTGGGAGTGAAAACAGACGGAGACGGGAGCCAGGACGAGGCGCGCCTGTCGCGAGCTGGCTGCGCCTCTAAACGTTAGACAATACCGCCAGGAAAGACGCAGCGCGCTGCAGAACAAACGTGACAGCTGAAAATAACTCAGCTTTCTTCCAAATGCCCACATCACGCGACGCGGGTTTTGAAGGCGGGATCTTTTTCGTGTTTGGCTTTTTGCCGTGCTATTATTTTTTTTCCCAGCAACCATCCCGTAGATGGACATGTCGTTGGATTTCGGTGTGGGACAGATGCTGAGACGGTAATGTTAGCCAGCTCAATTTGAGCCACCAGCACTTTTTCACGAACGGAGCGATATAATTGTCACTTCAATGATGGATTTGGCAATGTATGGTGTTTTGCGGCCGGATTAAGGATATGTCCAGTTTTTTTTCGAAATGGCGCGGCAGTATGTGGCTGACAGAGCGTCCCGCCATACTCTGCGTCATAATCCATCAAGACAATGTTCCGAGTGCAGGAGTCGCCCCTTTATGCCATGCGCGGCTAGAATTGTGCTCACGTGCCTCTGCACCTCGCCGTAAATGGGGCGTTGGGGACCACCATGGCGAGCGAGGTCACCCACCTGTTGGATGGCGTCCTCGTGAAACTGGCTGAGCACACTGTCCTCTGTGTCGAGCTCGGCTGCGTCTGCCAGCGGCGCGGCGCTTGGGTCGGTGGTGGCGCCGGCGCCGGCGCCGGCGGCAGCCGAGTCCGCCTCGGCCGGCGCCGCGTTGCTCTCCGTGTACGACATGAACGGGTTGGTGGCGTGCCGCACCAGGGAGGCCGACTCTGAGCTCGGGCCCTCCGTCCGGCCGGCGCCGTTCACATGGCGCGACCTGCCGCCCAGTCCGCTCGCGTCACGGCCCGGTCACGGCACGCAGGGGTCACGTCACGGCCCGGTCACGGCACTCAGGAGTCACGTCACGGCCCGGTCATGGCACGCAGGGGTCACGTCACGGAGAGGTAACAGCATGGAGGGGTCACGGCACGGCAGGGTCACGCGACGGTCGGGTCGCATCAAGGCCGGGTTACGTCACCGCAGATTTGTGTCACAAAGGGGTCAGGTCATGGTGGGGTCACGTCCCGTCAGTGCGAAGTCACATCACGGTAGCGCCATCCCACGGTCGGGCCACGTCATGGTTAAGTCTCCCCACGGTGGAGTCACGTTTCGAATGGGGTCATGCCATGCTCGTGTCCTGATTTGAGTTACGGTGGCGTCTTCGATTGGTTGATTGATAAATATCAGGTCGATTAAGACATATTAATCCCAGTGCTGCCCGTGCCCAGCGACAACCAGCGATAAATGACGACAGTTGACGACGGGCGGATACGTGCCCACGCTATCTCGGGACATAATAGAAAAAGGTATGAATGAAACGCCGTTGAATACCTTATACAACAACAACGTTTCGTCATCTTTGTTTTGAGTTGGAGACCAAGATCATATCGATCTATTTATTATTTTTCTTCCGACCTGTAAACGATCAACCCACTATCGTTGTCGTTTCAATCTGATAGCAGCTCAACAGTGTCTGTCAGTCACATTATTGTGCTGCATCCATAATTATATACATAATTATATACTAGTGGCGTTTTATCTAGCCCAGTATGGTGCTAAAGCAGTTAGATTTCAAGGTCAACCCTGGTCAGTAACCTATGACGACTTTTCTGGACTAATTTTTTCGTGCACACGAGAAAATTACACTACCGAGTTGAAAGTCGAGTGGAAACGTACAGACTGTGGCCTTGGAAGGTATGCAAAGATGATGAGTTAAGGTTACCTTTTGACGGTGGCCTGTGGCGACCTTTTGGATGAAATCTATTGCGCCCAGGTAAGACAGTTATCTCTAAGTAGAAAAATGAGCAAAACAGATACATTTACGAACTACGGGATAAATAAGCAACACCAAGTATTGCAAGTAAAGATCAACTTCGGTCAGTGTCCTTAGGAGATCAGACAATGACAATGTTGTGCAAAAACATCAACTAAACAAAAGCTCAAGCTCAAATGAAAGACGAAAAGCTGCAGAGGGATATTTCAAAGCTCTGTGCAGCCTGCACACGCTCCGATACAGTATCTTGCTCAAGGCATTGTTAGCGTAGTTCTTCATATAACCAAACGGACCTGTCCCAAATTAGGCTTGATCAACTTGGCCTGGCATAACATACTATACGCAGAGTGTTTCAGTGTTTCGATATCACCAGTACGCATCTGATATTTTTTAAGACCTTTTCAGCACCATCCTCCGTGTTGTTGTACCGTGCTTAGTTCTTGAGATGGCAGGATGGGGGAGGGGGGGGGGGCGGGGGGCCACAAAGCGCTTACTTGACCAATGTTTCCTGATTTGACCAGCAAAGTCACATTCACGATTATGAAGCTATATCTCTCTCATGCACTTGGACGAGAAGTTTCCAAGGCCGTCTCTCCCGGGGCTCAAACGTGCTTAGTCTTCAAGATCATTGAGGAGCCTTTAAGGCCCTCCCTCGAAGCGCAAAGGTGTGACAAATTCCATTGGTACGAGGGCGTAACGCCACAAAAACTCGCATCGACGTCAAGCAGACGTGCGATTATATCTGGGCGTCTCTTCCAGCACCAGACAGGTCGGCCAGGGGCGCGCACGCCACGCCTCCAGCCGCCCAGCTGACAGGCCGCGCATGGACCCATCCACCGCCCAGCTGACAGGCCGCGCATGGACCCATCCACCGCCCAGCTGACAGGCCGCGCATGGACCCATCCACCGCCCAGCTGACAGGCCGCGCATGGACCCATCCACCGCCCAGCTGACAGGCTGCGCATGGACCCATCCACCGCCCAGCTGACAGGCCGCGCATGGACCCATCCACCGCCCAGCTGACAGGCTGCGCATGGACTCGCTCGCCGCCCAGCTGACAGGCCGCGCATGGACTCGCTCGCCGCCCAACTGACAGGCCGCGCATGGACCCATCCACCGCCCTGCTGACAGGCCGTGCATAAATCCGCTCTCCGTCCAGCTGTTAAAACTTGCGCCGATTACCTCGCCGCCATGATGAATAAGCCTTTTAGTGCCACCAGCGATGTTATTTTGGACAATCCTAACAAACTACCGTTGTCACACCGATAGCACCATCAGCAATAGGAATGGCTTAAAGCTGTTTCATACCGGCGGAAGCGTCAAAGACATGAAGAAGTTGAATCGAAACTACCAAAAGCTGAAGCGAAAATAGGTATCGTCAGGTTCATTCTCAGTTGACGGTGCAGAATAAGATGGCATGTTTTATTTAAAAGAAATGATGGCACTGCAGGGTGTCCGGGTGTTCTCGTCATGGTTATCAATTGGACATGTCGGATCTCTTCAGGTAGGATGCTCCGAGCTCTCATAGTGTTAGAAATCAAGGACATCTAGAAGCTAAATGATGATGAGCTAGGTGATTGCGTAAGCAGCTTGCTGCCGTACTCTGGTTACGAGATCTGTCATACAGGCCGTCACGAACAGTGGATAGCAAAGTCGGTGGAAGAATGTCTTGTGCCTGTGGATTAACCGGATCGGCCCCGGTGTTTCCAATACCGGGTAGCTGTGTACATATGTGGGCTGAAGGTCGGCACTGGGTGGCAGTCCCATATCTTGTCGCTCTGTCCTGCAGTGTTTGAAGTCCCATATCTTGTTGCTCTGTCCTGCAGTGTCTGAAGTCGGATGGTGCCTGGTGGTCAGGTGTTCAATCGAACGCTAGGACAGACCGGTCTAGGAGTCGTAGGGGTCTCAATTTTTATTCAGTTTATGAAATGATAGGTCGGTTGTAAGCGAGTAACATCACAGAGCGGTCAGACAACGTTGGGTCAAGGTGAGGTTACGATGAGGTCATGGCCGAATAATATTACAGAGCAGCCAAACCACACTTGGTCAAGGTGAGGTTACGATGAGGTCATGGCCGAGTTACATCACAGCAGGGTCAGACAACGCTGGGTCAAGGTGAGGTTACGATGAGGTCATGGCCGAATTACATCACAGCAGGGTCAGACAACGTTAGGTCAAGGTGAGGTTACGATGAGGTCATGGCCGAGTCACGTCACAGCGAAGTCACGCCGCGGCGAGGTTACGATGAGGTCTTGGCCGAGTCACGTCACAGCAGGGTCACGCCACGGCGAGGTTACGATGAGGTCATGGCCGAGTCATGTCAGAGCGGGGTCACGTCACAGCAGGATCGCGTCACAGCGGGGTTATATCGCCACCGGATGAGTCTCAGCAGACGTGGCTGTATCGGAATACGCACGGCTCTGTCGGGACGGACCCGGCAGTATTGACCGACACAGCTATATCGAGACATACGAGGCTCCATCTCCCTCCAGGGTTAGCTCGGCTGTAGTGTGCTGCGTAGGCTACTTATAGAGCCAATGGTCGATAGTGCAATCAGATGCGTATGAATACCACGTTGACAGTGAACAGTCGTTACAATCTTCCGGGCGTCATCAATCTGCTAACTGTCGGAATGGCCCGCCTCTGCTCACTCTTGTGCAATATATAATGCAAGAATGAAGGGAGAAGCCACAGTGAACGGACAGTAACCGCAACTAGATAGGACAAAAACGGCAAGAAAATGATAAGCATATGGTGCAGTCCATTACGGCGACCCACAAACACTGCCAACAACGGTCTAGACCATCTCAGCCGATCATGCCAAGTGTCATCGCATCACTATGACATCATCATGCCATGTACCATTGTAAAGTCATCCGAGGACAAACTATGTCATAAATGAAACGTGTGCAAATACATAACGCAATATTGACTGCATGTTCATGTCATTAAAAATTGATTGACTATGTAACTGAAGGGATTGTTGAAGTTTTACACCCTGATACATCCTTTTTTTGCCAATTCCAGTGGGACCAGGATATAAATGGAATGTGTGCAGGATATATAAGAATATAGATTTTTTTGTATGACATCTGAGTACATTGCTTAAACTTAATGAAAGTTGTGGGACCCTAGTCAATGATCAACTGGCACCCCATTTCACCTGTACCGCACGGCTCCATGCGGCGGTGCGCCCCATTCTTGACCCAGGGAGCGTGCAGAGCAGGCGGTGCGGGGTGCTGGGTGCGGCTCAACTCACTCTCAGCATGCGGTCGGTGGCGTGGACACGCCCGGCCGAGTTGTCGACGTCCGGCGCTGAGACCAGCCGCCGTCAGTGCGGCGCCGGCACCGGCCGAGGCCAGCGTGACGGCGCACGCTGGCGTGCAGCGTGTGGACAAGAAGTAGAGAACATTCAGCATTTAAAGGCATTCACCCACCAAACTGAGCGAGAGCAACACAGAAGAACAAAGGTGCAGTTTTGAATCTTCCGTGCGCATAGATAACGAAAATGCTTAAACAAATATGCACTCGCCAATCACATACAAAGCAAGCAAGAGAACGGTCCAAGACCAGCGTAGAGTGCAGCACCGAGCCGAGGTGGCGCGAGTCGTGTTAGCCAATCTACGAAGCGATAACCACAACATGCGCAAGGAAGCAACTGGACAGTGAGCATATGCTACACAAATGCCAGCGGCGCAGGCAGCCGCCGGTACGGTGACGCCGCACACTGCTGCATCTAGGAAGCACGGACATGCCGTTCACTTCGCACTCAAAGCCACTGACATGGAGGTTGCCGACTGACGTCGCTGGCTGCTGTCCCGCTGGCCGTGCGTTGGCCGGGCCGCGTCCGCCCCTCCGCAGCGCACTGGTCGGCGCCCGGGGCGGCCCGCCGTCGGCCGTGCTGCCCCTCCCCGCTGCGCCGCGCCGCGCCGGCCGCCGACGGGATCGATGCGGCCGCGCGGGCGAGCCGGCGCGTGGCCATACGGGGCCGGCGGCCCACTGTTTGTCAATCAGACCCCGCCCACCGACAGTGGCCAGGCCACGGTCGATAGTGCACGTGAATCTGAAGCGCAATCCCGTCTGCAATACGGATCATCACAGCATGGACGGCACTTGTCATAGCGACACCTGCCGGGGTTAGGTGATCAATGCACATCCATGCTTCCAACCACGTCGGGGATCGTGGGCGTGGTGTAGGAAGCGAATTTTCTGTAAGTATGAATTTTGCTTACGTATAGAAAACACGACACATTGCATATTTCCGTCTATCGGCTATGTTTGCACCTAGCCAAACGTTGCATGTGCCCATTGCTGCAAATGCTTCAGCTTAAAAGGACCCAACGATTGCAGCCACACATGAGTGGACGATGTACCTACCTAGCACCGTAACCGAGGTCATACGGCGATGCATTTGCGAAGAACAACTCAGCTGTGCATTAGTTCACGTGCTTTAACATGTAAGTTTACGTAACAAAAAGGCTCAGTCGATCCCGTCCAAGCCCTCCGCTATAGCCCAATTTCAGGGGGTTTGAGACACGTCTGTACTCTTGAGTATCGCATGGTAAGCGGCTGTTCGCTGGTCGTCTCAGGGCGGATCAGTCTGCATCTGTTCGCGTCCGGCTCACGGCTATTTGTGGCTGGTTTGTGGTTGGATCCCACTCTCGTGTGGAAATATAGGCCAGACGTAGACTGGGTTAGCACGCAAGACATATTCCCGTCCACACGTATGTAGCACACATGTGCCTGCATTTCAAGGATGGACCCAGGATCCAATAGTTCTCCTTGATTATGGGATCCCGACAATGGATCCTGAGGTGATTTTGCGGGCTCCGCAGCGCATTCCCGGTATTGAGCACCTATTTTGGCTTGAAGATCCAAAGGAGAATATGTACATCCCGAACTCCATGTAGAGGATCAGCTGTCAGCCCGTTCTGCTGCCAGCCGCAGCGTCCGGGATGTGCGGCGCCTCTGGGAGATACGAGTCGCCTAGTGATGCACTTGCACATGCGAGGTGCAAATCCAAAGTACACGTTGGGAAATGGCTTAGATCAAACTGTACATTATGGATGGAGGTTCGCAGGCTGGTCTGGTAGGCACTTGCGGACTGGTCCTGTAGGCGCTTAGGTCTGGTAGGTGCTGAGTGACCTGGTTGAACCCGTGCAGCAGTTCGGTAAGGCTTTGAGAATTTGCACTGCTCAAAGGTTCTTAATCGCCAATAAACCGTAAGGTTCCATCGTTTGTGAACATTTATGGAGCCTGATTTGAAACCGAGATCATACGTCGTAATTCGGCGTAATTGTAGAAGAGACCGGCCGACCACTACCGAGGTATTGCCACCCCGTCATTGCCCGACGCGTATATTCCGCGCTGGTTGTTGGTGGAGCGACTCGTCCGGGACGAGCAGGACCTGCCCCAGTGCATGCCGAGACTGTCCCGACCGCAAGGGATCGATACTGGTATCAGCTTGTCCCGGCTCATCGACACACACAGGCTGACGCGAAATTCCGGTCCTCGTGTGGGCTAGGGCCAGCTGATATAGCAAAGCAAAGCTTGTGCCACGCCATGGCTTGTGGAAGAAAAGTCGCCACACTTAAAGTTATATGCGTGAATTTTCACTTGATGGGCCGTGTGTTTAGTCTGTGACAGCGAAGTCATGCAACAAAATATTTTTCAGCGGCTATACGTAACTGTCAGGGACGCATGGCAGACGTTCGACTATCACAGAGGCGCATGAAAACACGCGAAAAACAAATGAAAATGACTTTTGAAAGCATACAACAAACAGGATAAGAGCAACGAAGAAATCATATGCCCGAGCAAGTGAGCATGTACCTAGCTCCAGCCAGTCAAAGTCTTGCTGCCCACCAGATCACCGATGTGCCGAATTGAAACAGATAGTGATGCTGACGACTCGACTTTTTCACACGTAAGGTAGTCTCTAGTCACAGTAATAGAATGTCAGTGCTGACAACGAAGAGCTACGCCAGCTAAATACACTTGTTTTGCAAGTTCCACGGACCCAGGGGCGGATCTAAGGCCCTGCGCTGGTACTAGGCGTCTTTGAAGACGTGCGAGGAGGGATACGATAACTCTGGGGGCATTTGCATTGGTCTTAAGCTCTTTCCATTTACGCGGATGACCCTGCATCGGTGCCAGATAGCTCTTGTTAGCGCGCGGGGCACACGAGATAACTCTGGGCACCTCGCTTTGGTCTCGGGTTCTTTCCGTTTGTTACGAAAGCTCTGCGCTATTTCCGGAGCCCCTAAGCTTACTCACCGGGACTCTTTCGATGCTCAGTGACCTTTATATGGGCCTAACCTCCTTACTATTTTCTCCCATTTGCGGAGCGCCCCACGCTCTTTCCGGTATCTACTTGCTGCCTGTCGGGACACTTCCAATTATCCTAGGTCTTCGGTATTGGTCTTGAGATCTTCTCGTTCGTTCGGAGGACCCGGCGCCGCTGACGCACCAACTCTGTGTGCACTCTGTGCTGTTCCGGCACTCGGGACTGTGCAGGCGCTCGGAGGACCCGGCGCCGCTGACGCATCAACTCTGTGTACACTCTGTGCTGTTCCGGCGCTCGGCACTGTGCAGGAGCCGTCCGTGTTGGTCTTGTGTTTTATCGTAGCATACATTACACAAATATTTTGACACATTAGTGTGTTGCAAACATTACCAAACACACACATTGGAACGACAATGCAAATAAAAGTATTACGCTCATAGTGGTGAACAGGGAGTCAAAGGAGATTTTTCCCGTGGGAGCGGCTGGATCATACAGAAATTTTGAGCTGTTGAGAAGGATTTCTGCAAAACTAATATCACTGATCAAGTTGTACGCGTCTGATGCAATAATTAGGGAAAGCACAGAAAGGTGAGATACTCCTTTCAATGCTCTGAACGGGTTAGTAATCACATACAGCGACATGAAAAATCGGGAACCAGCCATTACGTAAATGTTGACGTTGAAGCGTGAAGGATCGTCCGTCTTTGAGGCAGTGTCCTAGCATTTTCACTTATTGTTGCATCAGACACGCACGATTTGATAATCAATGCCAGTTTTCTCTAAATCTTAAGGCTCGCTCTCTTACATGCTTTCTGGTCAATTCCCGGCTAAGTCCGTAAACTTCAAGGCCATTTACACATAAAAGCTAATCACGTTCAATTTCCGGTTAATTTAATTACAATGCATTCCGGTCGTTGCTGGTATGTCTCCCAGCAGTCTTGATGAGCGAAAAATGTATGGTTAACGATACCATTACATCTACGACATAGACCAGACCAGTACGGCTGATGGTTACACAGCAAAATGTCCACGAGTCGCACACTAGCCAGCACCGGAGAACATTTATATTCATACAATTGGAGCCGGTATGATCTTACCCGCCCCCATTGCTACCGATTCAGACTTCAACATCCCGAGCGTTCAGAGAGAGAGAGAGAACATTGTTTGTTTTTTTTACCAGACCGCAGCAAAATAGAACGTTGGTGCACTATTGACCAGAATCAGTGAGCTGACAGTAGTACCCGGAAACTATACTGAAATGATGCCCAGGAAAAACGTGATTTCTAATGCCAATGGAAAGTTGCATGTTGCTTTCTATTAAGGTAATAAATTCAATCCTTTAACCACGTTGTTTTGGAAGTTGGCTACACGCGGGCGTGGATCAGTACCGATCAGGTCTAGTCAGTGCCTATCAGAAAAGACGTAAAATATGTATAAATGTCACTCCGATGACAATCCAGGTTATATTCATCCTGGAATGGGGGAGGGGCTGACTTCAGTCGGTGGGCTGAGTCACCATGACTGATAGAGTCGTCGGTCGAGGCTTCGAAGCTAGCTGGTATGTCGATTGAAGTAATTTGATGCTACAATGCCGCACAGACTGTTGGTTTTCGCATTCCTCCCCAATGACGCATTGCCCACTGCAATATTGACCGTTCTTAGCGCTGCACGTGCAAATCTGTTCGGGACGTCAATGCGAAGCTTACAGGTGAAGACGAGTAAAGCCCACGGCCAGAGCGATTTGACAGGCTTTCGAAAGCCTACATTTTGATCGGTGGTAGTGTCGCCCGACCGCCGGCCGTTACCTGCTGCTAGCTGCGGCTCCGGCGACGCGCAATCAATGGAGACTGCAACGCTGGGCACATATTTTTTTGTTTAAACGGATGTTCCACATTTGAAAATATTTAAGCAAGCATTAAATATAACGAAACAAGCCCACTTGTAACTATTGGTACACTTTTGAGTGTAAAAGACTGCTCTGGACGACATAATTTCTCAGGTTATTAAATATGCTCTTCAATACGTCATTATTTGATTAAGTCATCGTGTTATGCCAACATTGCTTGAGAGCCAATTAATGACCGTTTACCTGGACATCGCGCCCACGAGTGCCAGATATGAACGACTTGACATTTGTATCTGTCTTGGCCTTAATCGCCGTACGACTAATCGAATGGCAGGGCTTTGATGACGTGATGACGACGCCATGGGTGTTTGTGTAACCTTGAATTGATTTCCCCGAAATATTCTGCATATCTTCACAGGTGTGACGCTCACAAACTATAAAGTTTAAAGCCTTAAGAAGAGTTGGGTTGTGAAGCGGCTCGAAAAATCTTCAAGATGAGTATTTCAGTCCAAAACCCCAAACAAATGTGAAATGCTTCCTGTAGAGCCTTTGAGTCCTCACAGTGTCGTGAGCTCTTTCTGAAAACCCCACCCTGCGAAGAGCGGTAAGATTTCTCGCTCGGGTGAGTCCATTACGTGAACATTTAACACGAAGGTAACTGTTGCAAGTTACGTTGCTCTATTAAAGTATGAACCGCTTTTCATTGTTACTCCACATCTTAAACTTACTAATTAAAGTTGCTTTGCTCCTTCCACTCTTTTATTCTCTTACGTATTCTGTTACTTTTTATGTGCTGCTCTACTTTCTATTGACTTTCTTACTACTTTTGAGTTACCTCTTTAGCTTTTTAACTCGTTTAGTACTTCTAAGTTGTCTACTACTACTACAGTAGAATACTTTACAGGCAATGATGTTTTGCGCTCCACGTAGACACGTCGATTCCTTAGCAAAGACAGTTACATTGCGTTCCGGGTGGAGCACACATTCTTGCTGAATTTTCGTAATAGTTTACATGAATGTTGCAATGCGGCATCAGTTTGGGAACCACTGGGCACAAACAGGCACGGTGTTGCACGTCATTTGGACAGCTGGGTCGCAGTGAATGGCCCGTAGTTTCCGTCCGAAGATGGCTCTCGACGCTGTTTACTGTGAGGGGAGTCGCATAAAAACCGTTCAACGTGATACGGTGAGTGGAGTGTTAAGAGAATCTGTCAATGATAAATGTGTGTTTGGCACTCATTTTTTTACGTTAGCTCTATCTTGGACCTCAATAATATAAATAAGTACTTACAAATTTTTGGGCGAAGGCGGCAGTATGCTGCCATTTTTGTTTAAGCGAACGCTTCAGGCAAATTACACACAGCTTCGGATATTACCACCTGTAAAGGCAGCCTTGGTTTCTTCAATGTACTAAATCTTAAGAGACGCCAGCTCTTGGATAATCCCTCAACCATTCGACATGCGCATGCAGAATACCACGCAAGTCGACAAGGTACACTGCGATTATGAGACCGGTGTAGAAACTCACCATTGTAAGAACAGGATGTCACATCCGAGCGTGGGTGTTCAGGCCATCACTGCTGGCGTGAGCGTGGGTGTTCGGGCCATCACTGCTGGCGTGAGCGTGGGTGTTCGGGCCATCACTGCTGGCGTGAGCGTAGGTGTTCGGGCCATCACTACTAGCGTGAGCGCGGGTGTTCAGGCCATCACTGCTGGCGTGAGCGTGGGTGTTCAGGCCATCACTGCTGGCGTGAGCGTGGGTGTTCGGGCCATCACTGCTGGCGTGAGCGTGGGTGTTCAGGCCATCACCACTGGCGTGAACGTGGGTGTTCAGGCCATCACTGCTGGCGTGAGCGTCGGTGTTCGGACCATCACTGTTGGCGTGAGCGTGGGCGTTCGGGCCATCACTGCTGGCGTGAGCGTGGGTGTTCGGAACATCACTGCTGGCGTGAGCGTGGGTGTTCGGGCCATCACTGCTGGCGTGAGCGTGGGTGTTCGGACCATCACTGCTGGCGTGATCGGTTGATCCCGGCCGCTCCTATCGGCGCCCACGACGTCCGCCGCCATCGAGCAGCGAAACCGACGGTGGTGCGCACGGCAGGCCGGCGGAGGACGACAGAGCGATCCTGAACTGAACAGCTGCCGACACACGCCGGCCGCTCAACAATCTCGGGGCGCGGCAGCCGAGCCCAGCCACTGCCGGCGCCGCTCAGCCGTCTCGGGACGCAGCAGCGGAGCTCAGCCACTGCCGGGCCGCTCAACAATCTCGGGGCTCAGCAGCCGAGCTCAGCCACTGCCGGGCCGCTCAACAATCTCGGGGCGCAGCAGCCGAGTTCAGCCACTGCCGGCGCCGCTCAGCCGTCTCGGGACGCAGCAGCGGAGCTCAGCCACTGCCGGGCCGCTCAACAATCTCGGGGCGCAGCAGCCGAGCTCAGCCACAGTCGGGCTGCGGCGCCGCTCCATGCGCACAGGTGCGTGTGTGATCAGCTCCGCTGAATGCCAAGGCAAAGGACTTTGTATCGTGCATCGGGTGGCCCCTCCCGGCAGCATTGCCGCAGGGGGCGCGGGCGACTCCGGCATCACTGCCACACAGAGCGCGAGCGACTCCGGCATCACCGCCGCACAGAGCGCGGGCGACTCCCCTGCCAGAGGGAGGCCTGGTCTGTGTCATGGCACGGCCATCGCGGCGTCACAACGCCATGCGGCCGAGCCGCTATGGCCGGCATCGACGCTCTGGTAATCACCGCGCCTGGCAGCACTCGGGACCCGACCCGGCATATCTGGAGTTGCGCCATTCCCTAGTGCGAGCGGTAGCGAGATAAGCCGGGAGTGGAACCCCCTCCCCTCCCCCCTTCCGCGCAACGGCTGTGAGCATTCAACGGCGCGCAAGACTGCCGACAAAAGCCGAACCTGTAAGTGGGGCGTGATATATCGTGTTAAATCGCGGATCCAAAACGCCACTGCCGCGAAATATTTTGCAATGCTTGCCTGTCCTCTGGTACCTGACGTCGGACAGAAACACACAAACATGATCAAGGTACATCACAAGGCTCTTCATTTTTTGGGGGGGAAGCAGCCGGAATGAAGTCAGAACCTAATCAGGGTGAGCCGAGGTGAGTTGATCATGTTGAAAATCTTGAGGCTAGTATACTAAAACGAGTCATTTGAGCAGGTGCTTCCAAAAGAAACGTGCGACTTGCGTGCTTGCGTCCTTTTTTACACACATTCTGTGGAACAAAATTTGCTACATGCCTGACGATCTACCGGAGCAAAGACCTGTAAATCAGTCAAATCATTTGCTATGGGGGCCACAGGAAGAGCACCATGACTTGGCGAGAAGCGTTTGATAAGAGCAGCTGCACGAATGCCTAAACGTTGCCAATACAGACCAACATCTTCGACAGAGGCTTGCCATGGACCCGGTCCCAAATTCCGGCATATTTCGCCGGTGTCCACGCTGTGCAGCGGAGCGCCTGCCTCGGCAACCTCGTCAGCATACTGTTCAGCCGTCCGTTGTCGCGAACCGCGTCAAGGTCCCGGACAGTGTGTGGGGCGCAGTGGCGAGCGCAGGCCACCATGACGGCGGCAGGTCATCGCGGCCTGCGTTGGCCATACTTTCCCAACAGGACACAATTCGCACTGATGTACGCGGGCTCTACCAGCACATGGAGCTCATGGATGAAATGAGAATTGCACTGCACCGCATCACATTCCAGAATTGTGCGGCGTTGAAGTCGCCAAGGTCGCCGACGTGCAATCTTCCGCTGTCGGGCGCCTGGGTCCACCGGCCATAGAAATGCATAAATATAGGGTGGCGTGCAGGCCAGCGCCCACTCGGTCGGGATCATCGCTCCCGTCACGCCATGTGGGCGCTGGTGAGTCGGCTCTAGCACATTCCGAGCGCGAATACAGACCTGGCGGAAGGCGACAGTGCTGGACGGCTGTGATCGCGCAGGCATGCAGAAGCGTCGGCTGCTAAACGTTTTGCAGCTAATTGCAACTTTAAGCACTTCCAAAACTCCTGTTCTCTCACTGTGTCCTGATGTCTGTAAGGTCAAGCAAACTACCGGGAGGTCCGAGGCATTCAGGCCTGACGCGGTGGGCATGCTTTTTCAGATCCTGCTCGCGACGTCGTCGTCGTCGGCGACGGCGGCGGCGGCGCGCCCCGTCGTGCTCGCGGACGGCAAGAGTGGTTTCAGCTACAGCTTCACCTCCGTCTCCCCGCTGCCGGCCGACTCACCGCTGGCCAAGTCGCTGTTGGCGGCGCTGCAGGCCAAGTCGGCCGTACTCGGGTCCAAGACTCCCGTTGCTGAGATAACAAACTCGCTGGACGTGCCGGCGAGCGGGGTCGACGTCTCCGCGGCGGCGCACCTGGTGCCGGTCGCCGTCACGGCCCAGTTCCACGCCCAGGATGGCCGCGGCGGGTACCGGTTCGGCTACACGGGTCCGGATTCGGCCCGCGTCGAGCAGCGCAGCGCCGGCGGCGTGGTGCAGGGCTGGTACAGTTACCGTGACGCTGATGGCACCCCGCAGAAGGTGGACTACGTCGCCGACCGCAACGGCTATCGCGTGGCCTTCAGTCTGTTGCCGGTGCGTGTGGCCGCCGGTCTCTGACCGATGGGCCCTGCAGGCAGTGTCTGACCGACGGGCCCTGCAGGCAGTGTCTGACCGACGGGCCCTGCAGGCAGAGTCTGACCGATGGGCCCTGCAGGCAGTGTCTGACCGACGGGCCCTGCAGGCAGTGTCTGACCGACGGACGCTGCAGGCAGTGTCTGACCAATGGGCGCAACCGTCGGTGTTTGAACTACAGACCTGGCAGACAGCGTCTTATTGGTGAACTCACCCGTCGACGTCGCTCCGGAGGGCACCAAATGCAGCCTGGTGCGGGTGCCCGACTGCGTTTCTCAAAGGCGGTCTACAATGACTGTCGGAAATAGCGACAGCCCGACTTGAGTGCTCAGCTGCCTGGCCTGAGGCAGTTTGTCGCCGGTGTCTAGCTCAGCCTGCTACACCCGTTTGGCTGTCTGGTATAGAGCACGCCGCGCATGTTCCAGTGTGTCATACGCTAGGCAGCCCGCCACAAGCCTCTAGTTTCCGAAGTAGCTAGTAAGTAACCTATCTGCGGAGAGTCTGACACATGCGTCTGGCCGCCTGGCCCGGCGTCTGGCTGCCTGAGCCAACAAGAGCCTGTCGCAGGTGCCTGCCTGTCCTGTCCGGTCACCGTCCGCCGCCAGTGTCCCACTGTCGGCCGCTGGTGGCAGCCGTTCAGGTCCGTGACACGCCGCTCGTCGTGAAGCTCCTCCGTTATGCATTGAACCACCCCAGTGATGTTTGACGTCGGACGGTGCTCGGCGCGGGCGCGGGGCGGCGCAGGTAGCGACGAGAGCCGTGTCCGCGCGTCACTTCTGCGCCTCCGTCAATGGAGGGGCATCACGTGCGGTCAGAGCCTCAGATACCTCGGGCCGAAAGCGCATGTTTGTTTTCCCACCAAAATCTGCAAAAAGGTATATGTGCACTTTAATAGTGCTGGCATCTCGATCGAGTGGATGACTTGATTAATACAAAGCTGTAAAGCTTGCTGAAAGTAAAAACAGCACCATGCGATGTTGATGTTGCGAATCGTTGTTTGACTTCCATTCCATGTCGTTAAGTGCGGTCACTCGCTGTTTCACTCTTAGCTCCATGCATTCCAATTAGTAGCATCAAGAACCAACTCAACCAAGAATGTACGTAATTTCTTTAATTGCTCTTTTACAGCATTGACACTGCTGGCATAACTGAAGTCGCATAATAAAATTGTCAGCTGATTAAACAATGCACGTGATGTTTGAAATGTGCAATGCATGTCTCGCTTTCACAAATGCCAGACACCTGGTATACCTATCTAAATACAGTGTCTCACTCCCTGAAGACGGGCAGTTTGTTATTTTCCTATCAGTCCACCGGGAAATCGCACGAGCTTGTTCTCAGGTGAGTCCTGGCATATCTTGATGTGACTCGTTGGTCAAGTGTTCGCACATTATACACTGTACACAAGTGGCCGCTAGATAGCAGGGTTGCCAGGGCTGTTAGAGGCGGAATGAAACAAGGCGTCGACATATTCTCGAACACTTGGATTTAGCCCCCACCCGTACATGCAAAGGCATCCGAAATATCTGTCTGGTGTACGCTAAGCTGGGCTTGAAGCTCTCTTTGCTGCGCTACTCAGGCACAGCATAGGCGCAGGACACATCGCTTCTTCATGTCTGTCATGACGCATCGGTTCTTAATGTCCATCAGTAAGCATTGTCTCTTGATGTCTTATCATGACACAGCAGCATGGCAAGATTCAAGAAATATCTCAGTCCGTGCAGCTTTCCTTGCTGTTCGTGTTGCTGGTCACGTAGTATGCTCAGTTTTGCTTAGCCCATGGTGGTGGCAGCAAAACAACGCGCTTTCGCGGCTGCAACCAGGTGAGCCATCAAACGATATGCGTTCGTTTGTTTGTCGGGGAAATACCACGCGCGTCATCTTGTTTCCATGTAGACTCACGGTCATGACAGGTCCTCGCAAGCCGTATGGCCATGGGCGGAGCACCACGAAAATGGCTGTCTGGGCGGCCGAAGACCAGATGTTTCCAAAGCTCTCTCGGTTTTTGTAATTTTTAGCGGCGAACGTTTGGTGACTTTGACGAGTTGTTAAAGGGGTCGAAATGGACTATGGAAGAGACAGAGCTCTGCAAAGAGATTCCAAGGCTTCCCTTTGCGAACAGCCGCTGACTGGGTATGCGTAGATGCGACTAGGGTCTTCGCTGCCTTATGTATATTCGAAATAGTTTTGCACAGTGGGGAGCAAGTACCGTTTCTTGTGAATTTCAGTGTCTCGTGCTCCTGGTTCCTACGCTCTACTTGGTGAAAACAATCGCTGGATTCAGTTTTCCAGCTGTTTTCTGGTAGCTCGTAGCTCTTAGTTCGTAGCTCGTAAGTAGCTATTTGTTCGTAGGTGCCATTGATTATTTTGCAAACCATACCCCAGATGCTAGTTCTCAATAGTGCTTCAGTAATCGCCGGCTGCCTGCTTTTCGCAAAAGCTAGAGCCTGGTTCCTGATTCCCATAGGCTCCTGGCCAACACCAGACCCTGCCTCCTGGGGTTTGTATTGGCTTACTTACAAAGCACCAGATGCCGGTGCCTGGATATACTTGGCTTGTTTGCAAACAACAGGTTTGGTTGCCATTTGGCAGCGGGTACCATTTGAAAAATACATTATCTGAAGTAAATATTCTGTCTATACGTTCACAATCGCTCATGCTCTTTTTGCGGAATGGGCTGGAAATAAATACGGCAGCCTGCAGTGAAACCGATTAAAGGGCTTGTCCGGGGTCCTTCCTGGTATGGAAAAGTCTTATAAGTGTATTTCAGTTGCAAATATATCAGAACAGAGCTACGCCACGCCTCACGTAATCCGTTTTCTGCAGAATGATTGGCGTCGGAACACAGGCACTAGGCGGTATAAAATACCTAGGAAAGAAAATGAGTATGTAGTAAGGCTATTGCCCGATACGCTCATATTGGGTGGCATGAAATAAAAGCGCAGAATTGAGAAAGGGCAGTGCTTTTTCTGGTACATTTTCTTGATGCCATCGAAAGCTCAATTACTGTCAGCTCCTGCAAAGTCAGTGATGAGCCTCGCATCCACCCAGGGTCGGGCGTAGCCAAGGCCAGGGCAGTGCAGAGAGGTGCTCCCCTCTTAATAACGAAGGACGCAGCGCAGACGAAAGCCTTTTGATATGAGTCGGCTTAAGGGACCGTCACGTGCAGGTCACCCCCGCGGACAGCCGTAACCGGATCCACGGAGTCAGCTGCCCTCCGTGCAGGTCACCCCCGCGGACAGCCGTAACCGGATCTACGGAGTCAGCTGCCCTCCGTGCAGGTCACCCCCGCGGACAGCCGTAATCGGATCTACGGAGTCAGCTGCCCTCCGTGCAGGTCACCCCCGCGGACAGCCGTAACCGGATCCACGGAGTCAGCTGCCCTCCGTGCAGGTCACCCCCGCGGACAGCCGTAACCGGATCGGCGGAGTGATCTGCCCTCCGGACTCAGTGGGACTGGGTTGGAAAAGCTGCGCGGGAAAGCGCGTCCCGAAGTGTCACCGCCTCGACCCAATGACGGTACACAGCTACGCGGGAGAGCGCGTCCCGAAGTGTCACCGCCTCGACCCAATGACGGTACACAGCTGCGCGGGAGAGCGCGTCCCGAAGTGTCACCGCCTCGACCCAATGACGGTACACAGCTGCGCGGGAGAGCGCGTCCCGAAGTGTCACCGCCTCGACCCAATGACGGTACACAACTGCGCGGGAGAGCGCGTCCCGAAGTGTCACCGCCTCGACCCAATGACGATACACAGCTGCGCGCCCGACCCCTGTGGGAAGATCTGCAGCAGCGGGCTGGATCTCCTTCCACAACTGTGCGCGGCCTATACACAGCATGTCAAATCTCAAAGTTTCGGGTGGGAAATGACGCTTCTACAGGCGATTGCAAACCTGAGACGCTGCCAGCCCCGGCCCCGGTTGGCCGTCCCTAGGTACGAGTTGGATGAGTGGGTGGCACTCACAGTGCTGCCCACCTCACTGGACCTACCAATAATCCATTCAACCACTCGCACGGACGGTCAGCAGCCACCCGGGACAAGACCGCTTCCCGGGCTGGAAGCGGTACATGGGGCCGCCGCCGCTACGCACGACGGGCAGTCAGCCACTGTCCACAGCAGCACCACTCCTCAGCACCGAAAACAGCGGCCTAGTGAGACCTGCATCACCACCTCTGTCCATCAGTCAGCCGCCGTCGCAGGCGGGATCGTCTTCGGCGACCGGGTATAGCACACCATCGCCGGGCAAGGACGTCGCCTGTCAGCCTGTCGTCTGGAGCGGTGCCGGCCGCAGTGCTGACAGCGGTCTGAAGGGGACATCGAGGCTTTCCCGAGTGTCTCCGCCGTTGCGGCGGCCATCCGACAGCTAGACCGTGTTCAGTGCTGACAGCGGTCAGGAGGGGACATCGAGGCTCTCCCGAGTGTCTCCGCCGTTACGGCGGCCATCCGACAGCTAGACCGTGTTCAGTGCTGACAGCGGTCAGAAGGGGACATCGAGGCTTTCCCGAGTGTCTCCGCCGTTGCGGCGGCCATCCGACAGCTAGACCGTGTTCAGTGCTGACAGCGGTCAGAAGGGGACATCGAGGCTTTCCCGAGTGTCTCCGCCGTTGCGGCGGCCATCCGACAGCTAGACCGTGTTCAGTGCTGACAGCGGTCAGAAGGGGACATCGAGGCTTTCCCGAGTGTCTCCGCCGTTGCGGCGGCCATCCGACACCGTGTTCAGTGCTGACAGCGGTCTGAAGAGGACACCGAGGCTCTCCCGAGTGTCTCCGCCGTTACGGCGGCCATCCGACAGCTAGACCGTGTTCAGTGCTGACAGCGGTCTGAAGAGGACACCGAGGCTCTCCCGAGTGTCTCCGCCGTTGCGGCGGCCATCCGACAGCTAGACCGTGTTCAGTGCTGACAGCGGTCTGAAGAGGACACCGAGGCTCTCCCGAGTGTCTCCGCCGTTGCGGCGGCCATCCGACAGCTAGACCGTGTTCAGTGCTGACAGCGGTCTGAAGAGGACACCGAGGCTCTCCCGAGTGTCTCCGCCGTTACGGCGGCCATCCGACAGCTAGACCGGGTTTCTTGTTGGATTCCTTGGCATAACTCAAGGCTGGGTCTTGGTTCTTGCCATATCCCCGTGAATCTATGAGTTTTGGCCCTGCTTCTTGTTGTATCTCTTGACTTATTGTGAGACTGACATCTGGTTCTTGTTGGTTCCTATGGTTCAATTTAGCGCTGAATCCTTGCTGCTGACTTTTAGGCTTGCTCCAAGCCTGGTTCCTGGATTCTTCTGAGCTCCGGAACTTGGTACCGAGAACTGATTTCCGGGAAGGAAGCTTGGAAACCAGACATATTTCTATCCACGAGAGCAGGACCAACCAAACCACGTAATCAGTCGAACTTTGTCTCCTTCCTCCTTCGCCATTCGCGGCTCCAAAGGCAGGGACACAGATGCGAGAAGACAAGATACCATGATGGAACCTGGAGATTTCCTGGGTCCGAACAGATGTGGGAAATGCTACAACGAAATTCGGAAACAATCGCATAGGATCGTAAAAATCGCATCGCGAAAAAACCTCCGAAATAATTGTATCCCGAGGCTGGCGGTTGGCTACAATTTGGTGGTTTGGACTGAATAACAATATCGCAATCTCACGCAGAATGAAAGTCTGGCGTCAAAGAAAAGTCTACGAGTAAGTCGAGTATGCCACGAAAATGAAATATCAACTTCGTAGTGCATATGCCATCTTTTTTCTCTCCAATATGCACTGCAAAACACGACGGTAAACAACTTTTTACCGATGAGATTTTCGATTAGCATGTTTTTTTTCCACGGTTCTCTTGCGAAGTGTGACTCATGTTATCATCATGTGTGACTGTCTGTATGTACAGTTTCATGCAGAAGGCCAAATATGGTTGGGTTTGCGTTTTCAATGCTCTCCATCAATATTCCAAGTTACCTGGTGATTGGTGTTGCTGGTCATATGAAATAATGCTGCTTCGACAGTTTTGCGTTAATATAGGATAATAGTGTGTATGCCTCCCAATAATTGCCATGTTCTCATGATACGAAATACGGAACTCATATACAACTCGTATATAACTCGTATACAGGCAGCGTGTGAGTTCACCTGAGTACGTAGTAGTTCGCGTGAGTACATCAAGACATCACACGCCATAACACTGTGCTCGATCCTGAAACAACTGTCTGGCGTTACACGAAAGGATGACTTGTCCGGAGCTGTTCGAAAAGCCAGAACTCAGACGTAAGGAGTGGGTTTAAATAAAGTGAATGCATGCTTTGTTTGTGTATTTCTGCTTTTACAAGACATCTGCAGATACCTGTTCGAAACGAACGTCGCTGGAGGTGATCACGTTTATGTGTATGGAAATGAGCAAGCGTATTAGGTACGCATAAGAACAAGACATTACCCTGATCGGCGGGACAGCATTGGCTCGGCCGAAAAACACGACGTGAAGAAATTTAAGGGAGGAATGATGACATGGGTAGATGCCGTCTGAACACTTTTAAAAGGATGAGCTAAGACATCGCAGGTTAAAGGAAAGTAGTCAAAAATCAAGCCGCGTAGAGGCCTGTTTAAACGTCCAGAAGACAGCGGAGATAGATGGGGATGTGAAAGCTTTTGCTGATGACGACGGCAACAAAACTAGCTCAGCACGAGCTCTAAGTTTGCCGTGTGCTCCTCGATGCATCAGCATGCTGTTCGGGCCGACACTGAGTAGAGGGTGCTGACGACGGTGTCGCCCAGCACACCTCGCCGCAGCAGGCCTGGCCAAGACCGACAGCCGGCCGGGTGTCTGCGCGCCTCTACCAGGCCCGGGCGGCCATGGGCGCCGCCGCCGGCGCCACCGGCAGGTTGGTGGCCGCCACACGGAAGCCCAGTGCGTCCGCAACGTACTTGACCTTCTGTGGGATGCCGAAAGAGTCGACGTAGCTGTAGGAGCCGCGGACGACGCCGTCGGCGCTCTTGATCTCCTTCTTGGCGGAGTTGGGGCTGGCGTAGCCGTAGCTGTACTGGCCCCATTCGTCCTGGACATGGTGCTGCTTGCTGGCCGCAGCCGGCATCGGCAAGGCCATGGCGCTGCGCATCGCCATCGGTGCCATCATGGGAATGGGAGCCATCATGGTCCGGCGAGCCATCATGGGCATAGGAGCCATCATAGCTTTAGGGGCCATCACAGCAGCAGGAGCCATCATGGCCTTGGTGGCGAGCATGGCCTTTGGGGCGACGAGAGGGTTTATGGAGGTAAAGCTGTATCCGAATCTCTTGGCAGGAGCGTAAGCGCGCATTCCCAGGGCAAGAGGGGCAGCTCTCACTCCCATGGTGAGGGGGGCAGCCCTCATTCCCATGGCGAGGGGGGCAGCCCTCATTCCCATGGTGAGGGGGGCAGCCCTCATTCCCATGGCGAAAGGACCGCCAAGAGCCAGGCTTCGCCTGCGGCGGATGGGTGCTACCGGCAGGTTGGTGGCAGCCGCGCGGAAGCCCAGCGCATCCGCCACATAGCTGACCTTCTGCGGGATGCCGAAAGAGTCGACGTAGCTGTAGGAGCCACGGACGACGCCGTCAGCGGTCTTGACCTCCTTGCGCGCCGAGTTGTGGGAGGCGTAGCCGAACTGGTATTGGCCCAACTCGTCCTGCGCGTGTGACTGTGTGACGGTGGTGGCGGGCGCGGCGAGCCCGGCTGAGTAGCCGAGCCCGCCGTACAGCGGCGCCAGCGACTTGGTCCCGTAGCCGAACCGAGCTCCGAGCAGCGGTGCCGGGTACAAGGCACGTGCGGCCACGACCAGCGTGAACAGGACCTGGCGGAGCGGACCAGCTCAGAACGGTGATGCGGTCTGCTCAGTGGGCATGGGGAAGCAGATGAAGTTCGCCGACGCAATGACCGCCGAACAACCGTACTTCCATTGCGTGCCTTTGGTTGTGGACCTGCATAAATCTTGACACTGGGGTGCAGTGGATTAACACAACATCCAGCGTTTTCGTATGACGATTATCGAGCTAATGATCTATTTCTTAGTGACTAACGTCGCATGCCCCAAGGCGTCAGGCGCGGGAGTCCCTCCCCCGACACATCGCGGGCCGCTTCCCGCTGCGCCTTGGGGCTGCCACTGCCCTGGACAGGCAGTCAATCATCCTTATGACTTCCGTATGTGGGCGCGGGGCGTTAATGAGACATTCAAGGCCGATTATTGGCTGATTGAGCAAACGAGTCAGCATTGCTGCCGCTGTGACGCTTACCAGTGCTCGCATGTTGATGCAGGTGAAAGTTGCTTTGAGGAGTGATGATATGTGTCATGCGTCGTCTTTTATAGCTGCCACACTGGTCTTTGGTGGCCTTGCAGAAGGCAGGGTGGAGCCACTTCGCATCTCGCTGTAAATCTAACACCTGATCTCTTGTTCCGTGCCCGAGCAGCCCGTTAATTGGTACCGCAGTGGCGCGCTCAGAGACGCTAAAACAATTACCACCTGTAGTATGTTGATTTATTCTGGCACGAGGGCATTTGGTCATATCTGTAACTAAATAATTCAACGATAGTTTTTAACAGTTGACGTTTTGAATGATTACGTTACAAACGACTGGCGTTGTTGGCAATAGAGAGGCCAGCGGCGTTGTTGGCAATAGAGAGGCCAGCGGTCATACATGGCCATGGCAATTTGTCGGGAGAAAAACTGACGCCGCGTATCTGGCCGGGGATCTGCAGCCCGGCCGGGCCCTCTGACCGGCAGCCGCGCGCGCTCGCCTACTAGTGACGACGCACTCCGAGACACTGCGCTCAGAACCATTAGTCAAGTCAGCATATGGATGCATGTTTAGTCTCCTCCGTGTCCGTGTGGTGTGATGCACTCCACAGTGTTCCACGCGGGGACATCAGACGAGTTAACGATCTAGATATTTTGAGCCTATCTTTTCCCGTGCGGTGCGATGCACGAGTGATATATTTGCATGCCTACAGACGCATCGACAAGCAGTTCTCCAGCTGTCGTCCCACTCGAATTTGTGCGCTGCTTCCAGTACACTGGCTATGATGTCCGCATACATTCCGATGGGTTTGGATGATGAACAATTCATTTCGTTAAAAGTCTAATTCGTGTGACGGCGTGGCACCCGTGGTGTTGATCTGCGCGCGTTTGGACAATGCCGGCAGCGATCGTTCTTCTATATGGGTCCACACCCTTCCAAACGCCCGAAAATTTTGCTTGTACGCTTATCGTTAGCATCGTCACGCACTTTCACGCTGAGCCATATGCAACTATATTCTTTCCACCGTGTTTTGTGTTATGGCAAAAGGAGCGGAAAAAATGTAAAACTCAGTAGTTGTAATGAAATACGTATGTTTAGTCTCTCGTTGTCAAAAAAGACATACGATTTTAGTGGGCTTCAGTCGTCTTGTACACTGATCATCGAAGTCCTTTCGGAGATTTTATTTGTAAAGCGCATGACAGGGAATAATCCCCTGCTATTTCCAAATAGGGAATGGGATGTGTTCCCACTCCCCTTTGGCGACCTGCATGCCTGGCACTACAGTTAATGCCTCCTGCGGGAAGGCGTCGCAGCCCTCGTCACGGAAAAACGTTCCAGCGGTATGCCTGCAGCACATAAAAGGACGTTAGCGTGTCATGACTGGCACGCAAGCGACACTGCTGGATGAGCCATCGTCGTCGTTAGTTGGCCTTTATGACTGGTACATGTGATTCCAGTAAAACGGTACAAGGCCAACTTTTTCAGGTGGCTTGAGCTCAGTGCAATGCCACTGCATCCTTCAGGCTCATCTGTCTGTTGTGACATTAATGCCGCTCCGCTTAAGCACCTTATTCGGCGAGGCGTTTTACTAACAGCGACCCAATATCTTTTTAGACTGCCAGTTCGACTGCATTGTGCGGAACGACCATACTTAATGAACAGCCAATCCAAGATGCTACGACTTGCAGGTTTGTTGGTGACTCAGTATGAGTTGACATTCATATCACAGCTCTTGGTCATGCCAATTTTGTGAGCATGGTCTGTCAAGATTTCGAAAAAAGTAAACAAGCTAGAACCATGCAAAAAGCAGCGTTAAAAAGCTGTCGCAGAACTGCATTCCGACAGAGACAGGTATCTCAACAACGGTTAATGCGACCATTTAGAGGTTAAACCAGGCCAAAAGGGACAACTTAACACTTCATAGACACCTGCTATCGCATGAACCAAGCATGACAAAGCTGAAGACGTCGTTAAATGGCTTTTTGAAAATTCTCCCAGATTAACATCAGTGTAAATCAACACATGTAGCCTACATTACGTCACGCTGGGTAAATAAATGAGTGAGGGCGATTACTGCACTGGTTTATCCAGCAATGTCATGCATTAAGCAAGCCACATCAGTTGGGAAAACAAGTGGTAAGAAAACCTTCAAAAGCCGTGATATCTGTGCCATTATGGTTTAAACTGTATGCCTGTTAAACGGTCAAATCTGCTTATCAAGGTCAAAATTTAATCTAGCGTGGCAATGAATGAAATGACCTTGAACACACTAATATCATCGCCACTCCAACTCGTCCTGAGCGCCAGCTTTGACTCAGCCTGGCCAGCCTTGACTCAGCCTGTGGGATCACAGCTTTGGCATCGTGGTAGAGGTCCGTCGTGAATATCGGATGGTGCTTGGCATGCTTAAAGAACATGGCTTCCAGGGAATCTTTCAAACCTGACAAGAGCTGTGGCAGAGGCGTAGCGCTGCACCAGGTGACAAATCCAAAGGGCAAAGGTGCCAAATTCAAATCTGGTACGTCTTCTGCCTTTTGCAGGGACATTATTACAACTTTTAAATCGCACCTAGTACACATACTTGAAAAAACTAAAATACCGGCAGCGATGAGCTATTCCTTTGATCCCACGTTTCCTGCATTTCATCGTCTTTGCAGGTTGGAACAGTGTTAAGACCAGCAGGGATATTCTAGAAGGACAGTGATATATGACAATCCAGGCTTAAGGTTGCACTGGCGGACCGAGCAGTCCGTGGTTCAGCACGCTGCAACTGCCAGTACCAGTCAGGCAGCGACGACAATGGTGAAGTGGTCAGGCAAGGCCAAATGCTGGGTGAGAGTTTTCGGTAGCGACAGAGAAAAAAATCTGGCGGATGCACAGCACTAAAAATCGGACAGAACAGTATCGACTAGCCAAAAGCGACCTCAAAAAGTCCCGGCTCTGACACGAACAATGGAGGCGGCTGACAGAGCCGGTACGGGCAATGATAACAGCAATATGCTGGCAGGCAGTGAAACAAGCTGCAACCGTATCACACCAAGTGACAATATGCATTACGTCCGGTGCAAAGAGCACGCTGCGCTCAAATGCAGTGGAAAGGATGCGGACACCTACATCCGGCAAAAGGTAAGAAGGTGGCCATCGCTAAAAACTTAGTTTACATATTTATAACACACAGATTTACTCTTAAATTGGCTTTGTGACAGGCGTAACACATATGATTATTACAGTGGCGATGCCCAGTGCTTACACGAATGACATATTATACTGTTGGTGTAATAGTCCGAGATAATTATTTCAAAAAAGCCTGATACAGTCCCATGCGATATCAATCAACAACTTTCATTATACTAGCAAAACCACAATATCAATCTGAAGGAACTTTTTTCACCTCTGCCAGGTGGCAGCGATATTTTACAGATTACGCTGGTCAGTATATTCTTAGCTATGCTTTTTCTCGCCGGTATTAATTTTCGCCCTGCATTTTTCTGCTTTTTTGGACCTCTTACCATACAAGTTTAGTACTTTGAGCATGATTTCCTATTTTTGTAGGGAGAGGGACAAAACCCAAACAGACTCATGTTGGGTTTGGATCGAGTTAATCGAAACAAATCCTGGACGCCTATTTCAACTGTATGCACAGCGTATAGTTGTGGTGCTATGCTGTAGCTAGAGCACATCTTTGGCGCCGGGATGAGGGCGCCTACTTCCCCTAACGATGTGTATCGCCGTTTGCGTCGTCTCTAGGCGCACGACTCGAAATTTCACGGTTGCCCAGCTGGATGTGACCTTGCTTTTCTGACCATTCTTATCCCTTACATGCTTGCAGTGATCCATAACATTCAACGGGCATCGAGGGGTAGATGATACATTCGTTCCATTTGAAAAATGAGGTGTTGACACAAGCTAACGACAATAAGGCAACCGCCCTCGTGAAATCGTCTGATGCCATGCTACGCTACATCTAATTCTGATGAAGCCTTAGCGGCCGGTCAAATGCGGCTGTTTGGGCGAGGTCACAAGCCGACTGGTCCTGCAGTGGTCCTCTGTCCACTTAACACGGGCCATTCACGCCCGTCCGCGGCAGTGTGGCCCAAGCTGCCTGTGGTGCTGCCTGGGCAGACTGTTGCATTGTTACTTGCCCTGCGGTTGCGGTTACTGTTACTTGCAGACGGTTGCGGTCGTACGTCATAATTAACGCCAGAGCTTAGTTCTCCATACGCCAATGGGCAACCATCTCTTACCTATGCCATTACGACCCAAATCCATTTCCTCCTCGGCCGGCAGACAAAGTAAAGGAGTCTGTTTACAAGTTGTCGGCGACGGCATAGCAGCGCACGGCATCGGCCGGCTCGCTGTCGTCGGCGACGACATAGCAGCGCACGGCGTCGGTCGGCCCGCTGTTGACGGTCTCATATATTCGGCAAATAGACAGTAGGTTGTGTCATCGAGGGGGTGAATCTCTTGGAATTTGCTGAGACAAAGTTTTTCCTTGGCACACGGATTAGTGATAAACTTTCAGGTCTGTCGCCCCGCACCAGTCTTGATATTCGTGAGGCGGGAGCAGTTTTTCTTTGATAGGCCAGGAAAGCCGTATTCGATACTAGCGCCACCTATTTTACGCACTAGGATCATCCTCCAAGCTCCAAATCTGCCACATTCCACACTACTGGTACTTGGTGGATTAATTATGAAATAGATATCATGAAGAGCACCCGCAAAACATTGCGAAACAAATTTTAAGCTTACTTTTCAGTAAAGAGCATTAATTTTTGGTAAAACCCTAAGATGTGCAGTTATGAGAATGTTCTAGCGGACAGGGTTAGGTCCAAGTTCGTCAATGCTAACGCATATTTGTGATGTGGATTTGCAATTTATGTGCCTTTTTTGTGTGCGAGATATGGGTTTATTGGTTTAGTTTTGCCGGTACAAGAACATTTATTTCGAACAATTATTTGCATAAGCATGCCAAAGACCACACGGTCACGCACAAAACATTTCGTGATAG